TACTTTTGTGTCTTTCAGCAGTATTTTAATTTTTCTTTATATAGATTTTACACTTACTATTTTATTTATTTTTTGCTACTACTATAATCAAATTCTTATCTTCCATTACATCATCTAACTAGCTATTATTTATGTATAGAAAGGCTTCTGATTTTTGTATTTTAAATCTAATAGTCTATTACCTTACTAACTTTTCTTTTATCATGTGTGTTAGTGTTTTCATTGATTCTTCTGCATTTTCCAGAAACACTACAATTTTATCTGTAAATAGATTGTTTCTGTTCTATTCCAATTCTTATGGCTTTTTTGTTTGCAATGGTATGATTGCATTGATTAGTACTCTAATATATTAGCTCACTAGAAAAGTTATGACACATTTTTTCCTACATTTTCCTATGCAAAAGTATGTCATGGGACCAGCAGATGGCATAAGTTTACATTGTTGGACTCCGACATGACCAACCGTGGTTCAAATCCCATATTCAGGGACTTGAAAGTCACGCCAGTGTGTGTGTGTGTGTGTGTGTGCAGGCCCAAAATCCCAAGAGGAAAATGGAGGAAAAAATGACAGTGGGATGGCCAATCCCCTGGGGTGTTTTCTGTATTCCGCGAGTGTACTCATCCTATAGCAAAGATATCTCTAATAAAACGAAAAATGTGTCATGACTTTCCTTTATTGTGGGACGGGGGGGAGGGAGGAGAGGTTTTTGCTACAGGTAGTGTGTGCTTGCCAGAAAGACAGAGACACAGAAACAGAAAGTGACAAATCACCCCCCAGGGAGGAATGGCCACGTTGCAATCTCTTCTCCTCCATTCTCCTCTTGGGATCTTGGGCACGCAGGCACACACGCCGGCATGAGTTTAAGCCGCCAGGACTCAAACTGCAGTCAACTACATGGGAGTCCAGCGACATAGCCATTATGCTAACTGCTGGTCCCTGTCATGACTTTTCTGACAACCCAATATTTTATTTTATTTTTTGGTTTTTGTAATAGAGTGCATGTCCTTGCCAGAGAGAGACAGAAGGAGAAAGTGAGAGGGAAAATAAGAAATCATCTCCCAGAGGGGATGGCCATGCCATAATTCTCCTCCTGAGATTTTGGGCACACACGCACATGTGCCCAGCATGATTTTCAAGCCGCCAGGTCAGAAACTCAAACCGTGGTCCACCATGTGGGAGTCCAGGGCCTTAACCCTACATGCTAACCTCAGCATCTCTAGTATATTTTAAATAGTACTGCAGTTAGTGGGCATCCTTGACTTGTTCTTGTTCTTTCCATGAATATCTCTAGTATTTCCATTAAGTAATATACCAGCTTTAGAACTGCAATGTTTGTGTGTGTGCATATGCATGCATGTAGTTATATATTAACATTAAAGAAAAAGTGGGAACCAGCAGTTAGCGTAATGGCTATGTCACTGGACACCCACGTAGTTGACCGCGGTTCGCGTCCCGGACCCGGTGGCTTAAAACTCACACCGGGCGCGTGTGTGTGCTTGCCCAAGATCCCGAGAGGAGAATGGAGGAGAAGGGATTGCGGTGTGACCATCCCCCCTGGGGGGTGATTTTTCACTTTCTGTCTCTATGTCTCTGTCTGTCTGGCGAGCGCGCGCGCCCTATAGCAAAAATCTCTCCAAAAAAAGAAAAAAAGAAAAGAAAAGAAAAAGTTATCAGATCCTATTTTACTTAGTGTTTTAATTAGGAGTGGGGGTCAATTTTTATCAAAGGCAGTTTTAGCACATATGAAGATGACCACATAATGATCTACTTAGATTTATAATCGTTTAAATTATATTAATAGGTTACCTAATATTAAGCCCTCCTTACATTTTTTGAATAAGTATAACTCAGCCATAATATTTCTTTTTAAAATTTTATTTTTAACTTTATTTATTTATTTACTAATTTATTTTAATTTGACCAGAGAGGGACAGAGGAAGAGAGAGAGTGAGATGGAAAGTGAGAAAGCAAGCTGCCAGGCATGGAACTTGAACCGCGGTCGACCATATGGGAGTCCAGTGCCCTTAATCCCCATTCTAACTTCTGGCCCCCAGCCATATTTCTATGATGAGCTCTTGGATTCTGTTTGCTGTTTTATTTAGATTTTTACCTCCATGTTTATAAGGTTGATCTGTAGTCTGACTTTTATGCTATCTTTATAAGGTTTAGGTGACAATATAATTCTTGCTTCATGAAAATATCACGTGGCTTTTCTTCTTTTTCAATACAATTACAATTACAATACAATTTAAGTAGCATTAGAAGTATATGATCTTTGAAGATTTAGGCAAATTCCTCTGTGAAATCTGAGCCTAGTCTTATTATAATAACTTTCTCCATTTATTTTATGAAAACTGGAATCCTTTATGTGATATTGCAGCACAGAATGCTGTTGTCTACAAATGCTGTTGTCTACAATAGCTTCACTTTTCTTTACAGAACAAACAGCTGTATATTCTTTTTTCTTTTTTTTTAATAGTTTTTTTGTTTGTTTTTTTGTTTTGTTTTGTTTTTAACTATAAGGTGCATGTACTCACTGGAGAGAGACAGACAGAGAGAAGGAATGTGAAGAATCATCCCTCAGGGGTGCACGGCCATGCCACAATCACTTCACCTCCATTCTACTCTGGGGATTTTGGGTTTGCATGGTATATTTTCTAAGCTGCCAGGTCTGGGACTTGAACTGTGCATTTGCCATGTGGGATCCAACTGTCTTAGTGTGTGACATTGGCCATTGCTTAATGAGTTTTATTCTACTGGTCTGTACAATATAGGTAAAATTTCACAGGGGTTTTGTATTCAGAACATGTATAAAATTCCTAGCATTTAGCAGTATGTGCTTAACAGGTGGGAGAGAAGGAACTTTTCCAAAAAGTTCCTGGAAAATGGATTTTATGAAAAAATTATGCATGCATTTCAAAAATTTTTTGTACCAAAATAAACTCCACATGGTAATTCCATTTTTCTACTAACTTGATAAAGGCCCCTTATAATACTTTCCCTTCCATTTCTCACTTAATTTAGCCTACTTTCAAGCTCTTTATATCATAAGATACTACTCTCTCACCTGTTAGGGTATCAGCACAGGATCTAGTCTACCAATAGCAATCCTCTCTCTAAGTGCCTGCATGGAGAATTCCCCAGTTCAGGTAAACAACTCCAAGGAAACACAGGAATAGGTTGGACTGCTGAGATGTTTACACACATTTGTTTTACAGAGGAGAGTTTACATTAGTTTAATGTAGCTATGAAATGTATTGTACTGAAGTAGAATACACTGTATTCTGAACAATTTAGCAGTCTTCATATCTGGGCTTTCTTCCCAGTTCTCGTGCTATTTCCCCAGACGGTAAATTAATTAAATGGCCCTTGGCCATGACTCTTTCTCTTGAGTCAGCTTTTCTCTCATTTTAAGTGTAGAAATGGGGGGATTAAATTAGCCCAATGCCTGACTCATTGCATGTACTCAATAAATGTTTGTTGCATCTTAGTTATCTCTAAATGAAGGTCACTTTTGCTATTACTATTAATTTATGAGCATGTAAGTAATTCTGGGTGTTGATAATAATGACAATGAATAAGGACTTGAGAAAAGTTAACTCGGGCTAGTAGGTGGCATAGTGGTTAAGGCACTGGACTCCCACATGACTGGTCACAGTTCAAGTCCTGGGCCTGGCAGCTTGAAACTCACACTGGGCATGTGTGCATGCCCAAAATCCTGAGAGGAGAATGGAGAAGGGATTGCGGCATGGCTATCCCCTTTGGAGGGTTATTTCTCTCTTTTGCTCTCTCTGTCTTCAGTTAGTGTACATGCCTATAGCAAAAAATCTCTCTCTAAAAAAAAAGAAAAGAAAAGAAAGAAAGGAGAGAAAAGAAAAGAATAAGAAAATTAACTCATAAGTTTCAGGGATCACGAGTACTCTGATTTTCACGTCACCTACATGGAACATATTGGACTAATATTCCAAGGCTATGGGTCTATACACAAATTCTAGGATTCTAAAATAGTAAATAACTGCAGTAATTTCTTCTTTAAGAGTGTGTGTACGCCCATTCTATGTGTAAGCCTAGACTAAATATAGAGTCTCTATTCTTTGCGTAAGCTACTTATGAGAAAGGATATTATCTTTTAATTTCTATCTCACTAACAAAGTTATAATTGCTCATTCAATCCCAAAACTATATCAAAATTACACGGTTTAAAATGCTCTCAAAATACATTCAGAAAATATTTTCCCTGAAATATGCTTTTACTGACCTAGAAAATTTTTCTTAGCTCTTGCCATAGTCAACATTTCTTACTGATGATGTATGGGGTGATGATGGTGGTGAGCAGAAAAACCTCGAGGAAATACAGTGCTGATATTTTACTAAAATGAATGTAGCACTAATTCGTAATCATACTTTAAGTTTCAAATAAAAATCTGATTTTCCAGAGTGTCATTCCCTTAAGGCTGGCTCTTTATAGGCCCAAAGTCTTGTGTGAATTTACACAGCTGTTTTGAGGCTTTGCATGGTTCCTTGTTTTAGGTTCTTTGATTTTTTTTTTTCTTGGAAGGGATATTTTTACAATGAAATAAAACATAACTATTAACACTAGGCTCAGGGGAAAAAGAAACTACTAAGCTTACAGCTTCCAAAAGTTCCAATATTTTGCCTTGAAAATCTAGTACAACATTTAGAAGTCGCAAAAATAAAAGCTATCTCTTATCCTCCCCTCCCCCCTAAAAAGATCAAGGACAAACAGTGATGATTTCAGAAAAATGATAGCAAAAGTGCAGGTGTTAATACTAGAATGCTTGCTTCTCAGTAAAATGTACCCCCTGAACAGCCACTACTTAATATTTTAAATCATTTCTTGGGCCATTATCACACGATGGTGTCAGTATGATACCTGGCCCTAAGTCCAAGTTGCTGCAGAGGAGAGGCCATTTATAGAACATATTCACGAGGGCTAGCAGGAACTGCAGAGCAATGTGAAGAAGTCATTTCTCTTTACCTTGCTTGGAGCGACTCTGACTCGGAGAGCCATGTACACATCCTATGTCAGGGAGGTGATGAAAGCCACACTCCTTATATTGACGACATCTGGAAGAAGAAACAATTGTCACTGTGAGCTTTTCAATTACTCCCAGAGACGAAGTGCGAGACGCAGTAGAGCAGGATGATTGGATTACACAAAACCAGACAGAAGCCATCTGTGAGCCACGCGTAAGCTGCTGAGTGCCAAAATGAACATCCCGATCAGCCGACTGAGCTCTCGTACCATTTGTAGTTTGGTCAAATTTGAAAGACGAGTTGACTGTTTTTAGACAGTGCTGCAAATAGGCAGGGACTTGGAATTTCCCTGGCTTGTGAGTAATCATGGTCTCATGCTTAAATTGGAAACATGAGTTCTCAGTTAGGAGGGCTTGAAGTTCACGTGAAAGATAAGATATGTGTGTGCACACAGGCACACACTGACGTCCCTGTTTCCGGTTTGTTGAATAGTAAATTGTGTCTTGAATGATAAAGCCACAATCACACAGTAAGAGGCAGTGCCCCAGATGGCGCTGGCACAGCATCCAACAGAGTTGGCATGGATGACTAATTACACATGTTCAAACTCTTATTAGACAATATTTGTTTTACTAGAGAGAGCGTGTGCTCAGCAGAGAAAAGAGATGGAGAAAAGAGAGAGAGAGAAGAAAGCACACCCTATGAGTAATGGTCATGCCATAATCCTTCTCCATCTCTCCTTCCTGTTAGGATTTTGGGTACATATGCACATGTGCCTGGTATGCTTTTCAAGCTTCTATATATAGAACTCAAACCGTGTGGTCGTTCTTGTGGGATCCAGCCACCTTAAGCACCAGGCAGACCTTGGAGCGGGCCCTAAAACAGTAGTTTTCACACTCTCTGTCTTTAACCTTAACCAAGTCTGCTAATAACTGCAAATAAGGACACCTGAGTTTTGGTACCTCACTTTTACCTACATTTTTTTTTTTTTTTTTGGGAGGTTTTTGCTATAGGGCCCATGCCCCCGCCTAAAAGACAGAGGGAGACAGGAGG